GATAAATTATTTACAAAATAAGTGCAAAGTTACACAACACAGAATAAACTGATACACTTACTTGATTGAGCTGAAAACCTAAGTTTCTCAAACTGAACTCCATTTGCGGTAAGGCTATGCAAGTGAAAGCCATGCTTCCGCTTAACCAAACGGGTATCTTTTACTCTACTGCCTACATCCATTTTATCCCTTACCATAGAAAATCCTGTAGGGCCCCCTGGAGCACAGTAGAGGAACTACATACAAAAACAACACCATAGTAACTGTACTATAGTCGGTTACAAGTTCACCAACGGCCTCCATAGCCGTGACAGGACGGGACGAGAGTTCACAGACAGCCTTCATAGCCGTGATAGGACAAGCAGGGAGTTCGCAACCGGCCTCTATAGCAGTGACAGGATGAGCAGAGAGTTCGCAAACGGCCTCCATAGCCGTGATAGGACAGGCAGAGAGTTTAAAGACGGCCTCCTTGGCCGGAACAGAACAGGAAGAGAGTTCACAGGCGGCCTCCATAGCCGTGACAGGACAGACAGCGGGGTCCCAGACGGCCTCCCTGGCCGAAACAGAACTGGACGAGAGTTTATAAATGAATACCACTGACACCTCTGGAGGTTCTGCAGCAGATGCCGCCACCTCTAAAGGATCTACAGCCGTACCATCAGGAAACAGGGAAAGTCCATGAATATGCTCCTTAACAAAACAGCCACAGAGTTCAGCAACGGTTCCTTCGACCGTGACATGACAGGCTGAACGTGCATTGCTGGGCGCCACCACCATGCCAGGAGCTGAAGCAAGCACCGCCACCTTGGGAGGTTCTGCAGCGTGGGCCGCCACCTCTGGAGAAGCTGCAGCAGGCGCCATCGTCTCGGGGAACACGGCAGCGTGCACCACTACCTCGGGAGGATCTGCAGTGTCAGCCGCCACCTCAGAAGACCGCATCGTGGCCACCACCGTTTCTAAATTTTCAGTGGTGGTGTATGCAGCCCAGATACACCATAAAGCTATCCCCATTGTGGGAAGCGCTACAGACAGGGGAAATAGTTCAGAAACTGGAGGGCTTGAGAGTGCTGGTTTAGGGATGTCAGCAGCACGTGCCGACAACAGCGGTGGGTCCTCCACGCTGGAAGCCAGTCTGGGATACTGAAGAACAGTCCTTGAGGATCTGGGTGCAACAGACAGGAAGTGAAAGGATTCAGAGCGAACAGATGTGATGTGACTCTGGATGATCAGCTGTGATGTGACGTGACTCTGGGTGATCAGCTGTTATGTGACGTGACTCTGGACGATCGGCTGAGACGTGACGAGGCTCTGGCAAATCAGCTGAGACTTGACTTGACTCCGCAATGGAAGCTGTGACTTGGGTAGACTCAGGGGAATCAACTGTGATTTGATTTGACTCATGATGATCAACTGTGACCAGACTTGACTCATGAAGGTCTGTTGTGACTTGACTAGACTCATGATAATGAACTGTAACTTGACTTGACTCATGATGATCAACTGTGACTAGACCTGACTCATGATGATCAACCGTGACTTGACTGAACTCAGGAAGATCAGCTGTGACTAGACTTGACTCATGATGATCAGTTGGGACTAGACTTGACTCATGACGATCAACGGTAACTTGACTTGATTCCTGAATTTCAGCTGTGACATAACGGGGCGCTGTTGTGTCCGCCATTTTGCGATCAGGCTCCGCAGTCGCAGCCATTTTGGAAGCGTGCTCTAGTAAAGCCGCCACGTCAGTCACAGACACTGTGTCGCGTTCTTCCACCACGACACCCACAGTAAACAAAGATCCAACAGTCAACAAAGCATAATCCATAAACT